TGAAAACGCAACACAAGCTTCATCCGGAGGATGTACGTGGAAGGGCTGCGAGTCGGCGCAAACTCTACATGTCTTCGAAATTTCGAACTGGAAGAACCGTCCCTACCACTTCAACATCGCTGTGTTGAAGACAGTAACATAAGGATTGCAAAACATGGTCACTGACGAAAGCTGAAGAACGAACGCTAGGTGTAACGATGGAGCGAAGGATGCTTGCAATATCCCTCCGCTACCATACAAACAACTGAATCCTCCGTCAGATGAGAGGCATGCAGGATATCCTTACGACCATGCAAGAAAGGATGAACGGGGCATGTTGTCCACCTTGTCAGTAAATGATGCGCGTTAGTGAGCGGTGTCCCCAAGAAAGTAAACGATCACTCGGACGACACATAGAATGGGCAGTAAGTAATAACTGGAGATATGCAGCGCGGGACCGAAGGGCCTAGCACAGCTGCGCTCCGTTTGTGGGAGCATCTTAGCAAAATCATAGCACCAGGCTTGTCAGTGCGGTCATACGTTTGTGGACTAAATTTGCAGATCGTTAACAGCTGGAATGGTTCTTGCACTGAAGTTTAGCATGCGGACTCATACTGGCTGTGTTTTGGCCTATTTCCGCACGCAAGGGGGAAGGGCGTCGGCTGGGGTGAAGGTGGGACCGCATGGACCTCCAGCTTGCACAGTTATCATTTTTTCGCATGAAGCCCGATCGTTTTCCGGCAAATGCTCGTCCATTGAGAAATTGCAGATTTTAAAGAAATCGGGAGAGGATTACAACGTCCGCAAAAAGCACTCGCTTTTGAGTTCCGGATAAAGCTGAGTATTTGTCATGCCCGCGTACACGGGATTTCACCTTAAAACTGTGTTAAGACCATACGTGCATGTAGAATATCCTTGCAAACTTTTAGCTTCGCAGCTTTGTCCGATAAGCGAAATAGCCACTTTGCTACAAATATCTTTGAAGTGCCGTAAGTCATAACGCAAGTGCAAATCAAAATTCAATTAAAGCATACAATTTCCCATATAACAACAAATATTCCTACAAAATTTCAGCTGCTGTTTTCTGCCTAGTTTTCGAGTTCGCATAGCGCCAACTGGGGACTTTGACGTGACTGTATGCGCTGCACAAGTATGGGCAATGGCTGAATTTGAAATCTTTAGCTCAAATACGCATAGTTTTTATGCGTCTTTGCTGTGTAGCGCTATAGCGCTGCTACAGCAAGCAAAAATGCGTATTGTCAAGAGGTCGTCTGTGTGTTTGTTCGGGAACGAGTGAACTTTGTAACCCACTCTCAACTCAGCAACCAGAAAAGCTGGGGGGACTGAAAATTTGGGGGAATATTGCCACCCTGTGCGTCACCGTTTCGTTCTAAAATCTTCCCTCATACATGCATAGGTCATGCGAAAAAAATATGCAAATTTTTTGGCGGGAAACGATTTTGAAAACCAGACAAGATAGGAAGTTGAAAATTTGTAGGGATATTCAATGTGCTTGTGTGAACTAAAGATTTCAAATGTAGTCACTGCACACGCTTGTGCAGCGCGTACAGTCACGTCAAGGTTTGCATCTGTAACTCTGCTAGCTCGAAACCAGCTGGAAAGCAGTGGCTGAAATTTTGTCGGAATATTATCCATATCGTATATTTGAAATGAGTTCCGATTTGCATGTACGCCACGACTTCAAAGATATTTGTAACGAAGTGGCTGTTTCGCTTACCGGGTAATGTGCGAGGCTGAAACTTCGGTGGGATATTCTACATTCAAGTGCGGTCTAAATTCTGCTTGGAAATGAAATTCCCTACAAGTAAGTAAGAGAAATTCTCAATTTTACTACAAACTCAGAAACGAGTGCATTTTGCAACGAACGCCCTCATCCTCTCCCAGCATCCAGTTCATTTGCATATTTGGATTTTTCTGTAACAGCAGTTCCACTTGTCGGTGAAGAACTGGAACTGGATATGGGAGAGGATGAGGGCGGTCGTTCGCTGCAAAATGCACTCACTTCTGAGTGAAACCTACATAAAAAGTTGAGCAAAAACGCATGCTCGGACGGGCTAGCCTGGTGCGTTCCAGCCTGGATCTGTCTTGTCTGGATTGCGAAATCGTCTCCCGCCGAAGAAATATGCGTGTTTTTTTTTTCAGGTGGTCTGTACGCGAGATCTAGGCGGGGTGAGGACATGCCCCCAAAATTTCAACCTCCCAGCTTTCTTGGTTGCTAAGTTGAAAGTGGGTGACAAACTTCACTCACTTCCGAACATACATGCACGAAACGACCTCTTGACACTATGGGTTTTTGCTCAGGCTATAGCGTGACGCATAACAAGGGAGTTCTATACTGATAGACCAAACGGTCGTAGTATTCTTAGTAGTATACTAATTGATAAGTTAACGCAGTAATTCTGCAGTTTCCGGAAAATTGCCGAGCGCGTCCCCATCCATTGATCTTTGCTGCCGCTCTTCGTTGAAAATGCTACCTCGTCGGTGAAG